TTGGCCTCTCGATCGAGGTTGGAATTACCTATCGGACTATTTGGCTGGCTTTTCACTATGGGATATATATTATATCCCGAAATATAAATTATATCCCGCGTTTGTGAGATATATATCTTTTAACCAGTGTGCGTTCGTCATTGGTCAATGGATTACCCCCCTTTACCCCGTACACCGTTCTGCGGGGGCGCGGAACGGTTTGCAGGGTACAGGGGGCCAAAATATAATATGAAAATATCGCTCGGTCGATCGAAAAAATATTTATAGCTTGAGATGTAATATATATTATATTATATCCCATAGTGAAAAGCGTTTTCCCAGGTAAACATACTCATCAACAACTTCGAGCGTAGTGCTCCCAACAACTACCGGCATAGGTGTGACGTTCACATGGCTTTTGTTTTGGCCATGTTCGTCTTATGACACATCCGTTGGGAGACACTACTAAGGTCATTAAGCATAGTGCTTAGGTCCTCCAGCTATTCTGCCATAAGGACTATATTGTGAGCAATTATCGAAGGTGAGTGATGTACTCGCCATTGTTGTTAATACCGTATTTTTCCAATCCTGTAGCTTGGCAACCCGGATAGCCATCGTAGCCCTACTGTACAAATACTAGTCATTCATATCGTCGACTGTATTGCAGTCTTCTAGGCACTGAAAACGATATTGTGACTCGAGCTAAAAGTTTTCGAGGCTTTGTATTAGAGCACCTGGGGGACGAAACATTTAGAAAGAAATAAAAAGACCTCTCCAACTTAACGTTTAAGTTCATTGTGCCTCTCACCATACGGTAATCGCTGCCTGTTTTCACTCTTGCGATCACTGAGACATCACTGAACAGTTACCCGTCTAGTCGTCATGTAATGTAATGAAATAAAGCTTGGATGGCTAGACGCTATTTCACCGCATGAATAGAATAGATTAGAATTATTTGAAACGTGGTAGAACCACGCTGCAGGTATGCTAAGAGGTGAAGCCGTGTAGTGGCGGTCAAGAATATCCACTACCCCATATCCTCCCGTGGGTGTCGTAAAAGGCGACAAAGGGAAACAGGCAGAAGATGGGCAGCAGCATCTTCCTGATAATAGCCAAAATTATAATAAAAAAAACTGCGGTTGCCAACCCGCTCGCCAAGCGTGGCAATTATGGCAAATACCCCCCAATGACTAAAGCAACAAACAGACGGCCCCCAGTCCCCGGCGGCCCCGCTATTCCTGGCTACGGTGGCGACCATGGTAACGGCGGGGCAGGGGGTGCTAAGAATCTCCGGTGGAGGTTCGGTTGCCACCTTAGACGACTCGACCTGGCAACGTACAACGCACGCACCCTGAGGACTGACGAGAAGATCGTGGAGCTGGAAGAAGAGATAGACAAGTTGCGCTGGCATATTATAGGATTATCCGAAGTCCGAAGAGAGGGGGAGGACACGGTAATCCTCGAATCCGGCAACTTGCTCTATCACCGGGAGGGCGACCATCTGTCCCAAGGAGGTGTCGGATTTATCGTCCACAAGTCTCTCGTTAACAACGTTGTAAAGATCGGGAGTGTGTCGACGAGGGTTGCGTACCTTATACTCAGAATCACCAAACGGTATTCGCTGAAGGTCATACAGGTTTACGCACCAACCTCGGCACACCCCGATCAGGAGGTGGAGGAAATGTATGAGGATATCTCTAGAGCCATGCATTCCTCCAAAACCCAATATACGGTGTTAATGGGAGACTTCAATGCAAAACTAGGCACAAGAGAGAACGGTGAGCTGAAAGTAGGGAAATTTGGAATAGGGCAACGGAACCCAAGGGGCCAGCAGCTGGCCGACTTCATTCCTTCAGACGAGCCCCGACGGTTCGACAAAAAATGAGATTGACTTCATTATGACGACCAGACGACAACTGTTCAGTGATGTCTCCGTGATCGCAAGGGTGAAAACTGGTAGCGATCACCGAATGGTTAGAGGCACACTGAACCTAAACGTTAAGTTGGAGAGGTCTCGTCTAATGAAGTCAACGCTCCGTCCCCCTCGTGCTCTAATCCAAAGTCCCGAAACCTTTCAGCTCGAGTTACAAAACCGTTTTCAGTGCCTAGAAGACTGCAAAGAAGTGGACGATATGAATGACAAGCTCGTGGAAACTGTCCATGCGGTCAGAGCTAAGTTCTGCAAGACCCGCCGCAGAAGAACACAAAAACTCTCCGATCACACTCTTAATCTCATGGCTGTTAGACGGGAGATGAAGCTACATTCTTCAACAGACTTGACAGCATACAGGCATCTGAACAGACAGATCTCCAAATGCATGCGGCGGGACTTACGCAACTTCAATACAGCTCGTATTGAAGAAGCGATCGAGCGGAACTAAGGCTCCAAAGTCCTTGCCAGAGATCTGTCTGCCAGAAAGAGCCAACTGTCAAAGCTGAAGACAGAATGTGGCAGCATCGTTTCCGGGACACCTGAGATTTTGAGTGAGATTGAGAGGTTCTATGGGCAGCTGTACACGTCATCGTTGGAGCCACACGCAAGTGTGAGTAACGATCCAAGAGCGAGTCTCATCCGACACTATTCCGAAGATATCCCGGACGTCAGTCTGAGCGAGATTAGAATGGCTCTCCAGCACCTTAAAAACGGTAAGGCCCCAGGCGAGGATGGAATTACAGCGGAGCTTCTGAAAGCGGGTGGAAGACCGGTACTTGAAGTCCTTCAGAAGCTCTTTAATTCCGTCCTCCATGGTGGCATTACACCGGAGGCGTGGAGCAGAAGTGCGGTGGTCTTGTTCTTCAAGAAAGGTGACAACGCTCTCTTGAAGAACTACAGACCGATTTCCCTTCTGAGCCGCGTCTACGTGCTGTTTTCGAGAGTCATTACGAATCGTCTCGCGCGCAGACTTGACGACTTCCAGCCTCCCGAACAAGCCGGTTTCCGAAAGGGCTTTAGCACCATAGACCACATACATACCCTTCGGCAAGTTGTACAGAAGTCCGAAGAGTACAATTTGCCACTATGTCTGGCGTATGTGGACTATGAGAAAGCCTTTGATTCCGTCGAAATTTGGGCGGTGCTGCAGTCCCTTCAGCGGTGCCAAGTTGACTGTCGGTATATCGAAGTGTTGAAGTGCTTGTACAGTAGGGCTACGATGACTATCCGAGTACAGAACCAGAGTACGAAACCTATCCAATTGCAGAGAGGTGTAAGACAGGGTGACGTCATATCCCCGAAACTCTTCACCGCTGCATTGGAAGACGTTTTCAAGCTTCTGGACTGGAAAGGGTACGGTATCAACATCAATGGCGAGTACATCACTCACCTTCGATTTGCCGACGATATAGTCCTTATGGCAGAATCGCTGGAGGGCCTAAGCACTATGCTCAATGACCTCAATAGTGTTTCCCAACGGATAGGTCTTAAGATGAACATGGACAAAACAAAGATTATGTTTAATGTCCATGTCACACCTATGCCGGTAGTTGTTGGGAGCACTAAGCTCGAAGTTGTTGACGAGTATGTTTACCTGGGACAAATAGTCCGACTAGGTAAGTCCAACTTCGACCGAGAGGTCAGTCGACGGATTCAACTCGGCTGGGCAGCGTTCGGGAAGCTACGACACATCTTCTCGTCAGACATACCTCAAAACCTTAAAACGAAATTGTACAACCAGTGCGTGTTGCCAGTGATGACTTACGGAACTGAGACGTGGTCCTTCACTGCTGGCCGTATGAAGAAGCTCAAGGTCGCTCAGCGAGCTATGGAGAGGGCTATGCTCGGAGTTTCTCTGCGTGATAAACTTAGGAATGAGGATATCCGCAGTAGAACCAGAATAACCGACATAGCCCAACGAATTAGTAAGCTGAAGTGGCAGTGGGCCGGCCATATAGCTCGAAGAACCGACAACCGATGGGGAAGAAAGGTTCTCGAGTGGCAGCCTCGTACCGGTAGGCGAAGTGTAGGGCGTCCCCCCACGAGATGGAGTGACGACCTGGTAAGACATGCAGGAAGTCGATGGATGCAGGTGGCTCAGGACCGTGCTTTGTGGCATTCTTTGGGGGAGGCCTATGTTCAGCAGTGAACTTGTGAAGGGCTGTAATGATGATGATGATGATGAAGAGGTGAAGCGCACTGACTTAACAAAAGCCTATTCACTCTTGCTTTGAAGACGCCCACATTATACTCTGATGGAAACACAGATGCGACAACTTATTCCACTCCTTCCCTGTACGCATTATGAACGATGTAGCAAACCGTTTGGTTCGAATGCGTGGTAAGTCAACAACGAAGGAGTGGAGACTGGCCGAATGTCTGGTTGTCCGATGGTGGTTGACAGTTTAAATAAATAAAATCATTTTTTCTTTTATCATTTATCAAGGTTTTCCGTACACTACAAAAACGCTGGAATGTTTTTTAGACAGATTTTTGTTTATAAAAACCGTGCGTATTCAGGTTCAAATAGACACTGTTTTGACAACATTTTAATCGACTTCTAAAAGGACATGGACGTATAAATAATTACTTATTAATACGTCGTAAAAGGAGCAGGGTCTCAATTCTAGTGCGTTCTTTTATTTTGTATTTAGGTTACGCGATATCTTCGCAAAAAAAGAATCATCAAAATTGTGAACCAATTTTAATGATTCTTTTTTTTTTATTAAGTAGAATCTACCTCAAAGGTGGTCCCATTAAATGTTGAAAACTTTCGCCAACTAGGGTAGAAAATAGGGGGAAAAGTTTGATATTGGACCATTGTTTAAGGAATTTCATATGATATCTTCGCAGATTAAGAACTGATTTTAATTATTCTTTTTTTATTAATGTTTTGATATAAACAGAGATTTCTGACTGTCAAATAAAATAATAATAAAACAAATTTGCCACTAAACTTATTTTATATTTTATTCGTCTTTACACTATTTAATAACTATTTTGGGTCTTAGACAGAGCCAGCCATCGTAACTGGGAACTCCGTCGTTTACTTGAGGCTTTTCTCCAAATGCTGTTTTTTCTTCTTTTTCATATGGCAAATGCCAACCATCTTGGTTCTTCTGTGCGCATGGTGTGAATTGTAAAGGTGGCTGCAAACAAAATAACATATTATGCATATGTATTAAAAACCTCAACTTTTACCTGACTAACCAGAATGATTATTTTTCATAATATTTCATGTGTATGGTAAGTATGATTGTGTGTCTGATTTTCGTGATTGCCTCTACACTGTAGCCTATACAGCTTGGGATTTTGTTGTATCTTTGTCTTTAAAGTGTTAAGACGAAAATAGCAGCGCGGTATAGCTGCATGAATATACGCCCGCGTTACTCAACGGTCACGTAATAGATGCATGAATTCATACCCGCGGTACTGGAAGAGCAGTGGCAGTCTATAATTGTATTTCATCAGTTAGTTTTTTTTTTCAATCAGCCGCCTTGGATCCTAGGTACGTATACTAGGTATATACGAAAAACCAATTATATAGGAATTGTTCGCTTAAACTATAGGATGTAATCCAACTTAATTTATGTATATCTCCATATGTAGTATCTCAGCGATTTTCGTTTTATATCTCTGTAGAATCTCGGGTTCACCTTTACAACTAACAAAAATTGTTATGCTACTGTAGAACATCTTTCGTCAGAATTGAGGGATTTATGTAAATCAAGCAACACTATATTTAGTGCTTTTAAAACTTAAGTAATTTTTCTTTTGAATATGTAAAATTATACCTGTATGATAGGGCGCCTGCCTGCAAGGAAAACTTTCCACTGATGTTGCCATTGCCACTTCTGGAAAAGTAGCTTTAGCGTTTGATCTTTTAATAAAAATCTATGACCACGGAGTAAATCTTTTGATACTATATCAGTATGAGGACCACTCATAATAGCAGCTGTTATAAAGAAGGGATCATCTTGTGACCTGAAAAATAACCAAAATTTACTTAACTAAATATAAAAACAATATTATTTACAAAATGTTTATATCCATCCATACACCCATTACAATCAATAAAAGTCAACTGCTGAACAAAGGCCTCATAGAGGTGATCTTGCCATAGTTGAAAAGATTGACAGGCAGGTTATTAACTGCAGTTTTTTAATAATTTTGAGTTATTATCAGACAAATACTGCTGCCCATCTTCTGGATCAGTTTCCCCTGTCGCCTCTTACAATAATATTATTGATTCATACACATTTATATATCGTATACTAATGGATTTGGTTCATGCATGCACAAGTTTCTTTTCCTTTTCCCTCTCTCATCAAAACAATGAAGAATCTGTCAATGCCAAATTGATATGGTCTCATTAAGAATAGTTTTCTCACTATCACCATGTTATGTTTAATCCATTATCATTACATTTTATCAAAAATCCACCATAGAGCATAGGCTTCCCGCATAGATTGCCTCATAAGAGAGACATTTGCATTTGCTTAATAGGCAGGTTGACACCTGCTGTTTTTATTTTTAGCGGTTATTAGAAAGATGCTGCTGGCCATTTCCTGGTTTATTTCCCTCTGACACTTCTTACGACATCCACGAGACAATATAATATAACTTACCTTTTTCTTAACATTCGCGTGTTAGTATTAGACTAAACCAGCATACCAAATATTATAGGAATAATGGTTGTGCTACTAGGATTATTTATATAATTTAATAATGTTCTGATACATAACTTAACACATAATATTATATGTGATTTGTAAGTCAATGGTAAATTAATTAACAACTGCAATTTTGGTAGAAAGATTACACAATCTGCAATGAAGAAATTCACAGATTTTCAAACACATCTTAGGTATTAATAAGGCACTTGTAATGCATTGATCAAGCAATTATTGAGATTGATCTTATATATTGAATACCTTTAACAAAAGAATTTTCATTTTTAATACTTACATGTCCTCAGTAAAGAAACTGCATGTTCTACACATTAAATATTCTAATGTTTTTCTATGCCACTTTAGCATATGTTTTCTACCCAATAACAATATTTTCTTATTTTTTCCATTAAAATAATCAACAACGGTCTTCAAAAATTGCACTTTCTCCATATTTGAACGTTTGCTTACTGCATAAGCAATGTTTAAAGCATCCAATACAATGTCATAAGGTGCAGTTTCATCTACAAAATGTAAAAATTCATTTAATTCTTTTGGAGAAGTCTTCAGAAACATATCCGATCCAATAATAAGTTTGTCTTTTATATTTTTTTGAAGTAATTCAAATTCTTCAATGGATAATTTAAGACATTTTAATGTTTTGTTGCACGACATACACTGACCACTGGAATGTATAAAAATAATATATATTTTTTTTTATAATATAATTCTACTAAAATTATAAATTTCAAAAAAAGTAAAAAAAAATTTAATAACCAAGTGTATCATCTTAACTGCCTAATAAAATATAAGATCAGAGTTCAAATCCTGACAAAACTTAAGCCAAGCACTGCTATTTGGCGGCAAAAATATAAAAGAAGATAGTACCTACTCAGACGGCCTCCCTAGATAGAAAAGGAGGCTTGATGCTGCTGTGTTTTGTATGATAAGCATAGAGAACCGGAGACCCTTTTTACTAGACATGAGGCATTCCATTTTAGCCCTCACGGGTGACAACTCATCTGCATTTTGATTTGTAATCGAGGATAGATGTAGATATATATGGGCCACAGCGGCCACTTACCGTCAGGTGGACTGTGTGCGCGTTTGTTACCCTTATCCTATAAAAAAGGAGGTCAATGTTTATTATATTAGTTTAATCCAATAGTTACAATTCATGTAAATATAACTAAATTGTTTTTAACTAACAAGGGATTTTTGACGGTTTTTCGTTAATATAATAAAAATGTTCATTTTAATTCACCATCAACAATAATACCTAGTTGAAATTATTAACTAATTGATGTGTCAACTTATGTCAATTTACAATAACACACAATTACACAGCTTACTTTAGATTCAACACCATAACATTCAACAAATTCCTACCCATTTTTTAATACTATGTAATATTTTAGAAACAATATAAAATTGCCCCTATAAATGTACTTTATATACATAGTTAATATATTTGGGGGATTATTGACTTCGACTATGTCATTTATAATCTCTGAGGCTTCTTGCAAAGTTCTTCTTGCCTTGTGTGCAACTTGTTGCAACTAAAACGGTGAAGTATGAACTCAAAAACTGCACTCAAAATTGCCATCTTTCTTCTACACATTTGTTATTCAAATAGTTAAGGACTGTTTCATGTCACATAGAACAAGAAGTTAGCGAATATGTTCCGTTTTCTCATTTCTTCAACAAGAAGTCACATTTGAAACATCATTGACAAATTTAACTAGTTGATTGATAGACCACATAACACTATTACTCTCTACTGCAAGTTGACAGAATGTTAACAGTTGACACATTGACAGAAGATCAAGAGTTATTGTAACTAGTTTGTTGACAAGCCTCAAAGTAAAGAAGAAGAAGAACTAGTTTATTATTTCTACATCCATACCTAACGTTAATCATAATGTAAAGGTAACAGTTTAAAAAATAATATCTGTTGGTGTAAACTGAGCTATATATCAAAATGCTATATGAGCATTCCAAATAACTAAATAAACCATAATTATCTTAAATGTCTTTCCGAATGGTGATAATTTAGAATTAGACTAACAAAAATAACATCTACTGTTACTACAACAAAGTTAATATGTATTAACCGTATTTGTTTACAAAAAATAGATATTGCAGAGATAATCCATAAAGTGGGTTTTTATAAAAAAAAATTACTGAAAATTAATAATTGTTATCAGCATTGTGACAATGAGTGGGCAATTTAGCTTGAAAAGCTAATAACCAATGGGGGAAAAAAGGTTCTTGAGTGGCAGTTTTGTACAAGTAAAGGAAGTGCAGTGCAACACACACTAGTTAGGGTGACCACTTGGTAAGAAATGAGAGATGATGATAGATGCAGGTAGCTCAGGACTGTTCTTTGTGGCACTCCTTGGGCGCCTATGTTCAAGAGTGGACTTGTGATGAGTTAAAATGATGATGATGATGATGTTACCAATATTATTTTTAAGTTTCTCATATTTTTATGATTTTTTACCTTTGCTTTATAACTTCTACAAATTCTGCATTCCATCCTAATAAAGAATAGGTCTTTATCATTTCATCTGCTGTTGCCATTGAAATAACAGCGCAATTTTTAGTAATATGTGAACAAATTGTATCTAAATGCTTAATTATTGTTCCTTTATTTTTATATTTCCTAAGATAATAATTCATCCATTCTTTATATGCATAATCTTGCAAGGGACGTAAATCTGAGACACTTCTGTTAATCATGTCAAGAGCTTCTTTTACCTTGTTATTTTTAAATAAAGTTCCTATTAATGTGCTGTATGCAGAATGACTTGGTGTGCAACTTAATTTTAAATCATCTAAAACTTTTAAAGCTTTTTCCCATTCATCAATAGCACATAAAGCGTGCAAAAGTGATTCAGAAGTTGAATAATCCAAAACTTTGTACTTGTTATATAAATCTATAAAAGTGTTCAAAATAAATTGCTTCTCGGACGGTGACAATGATTTATTCTTTCCTTTTTCATAATATAAGCCTAAAATACTATTTGTGGCTCCTATACTTAAAACTGAAGCGGAACTCTTCAAATAATTAGCGAAGGATGATGCTGAATCTAATTTCTGATTTCTAACCATAGTTTTTAATATAACAGCATCCACATTATTTTCATTTACTGAACCATCCTTACTAAGAATGTTATCTTTTAAAACTGGCCAATCTTGAAAATTTGTGTTTATTGCTGACTTTAAATATTCCATTTGTTCATTTCCTGGTGATTTGTTCAAGAACCGACGCACCGTACACACAGCTAAAAGTACATAAAATAAAATGTAATAATACATCATTTAAAGAATACTTACTGTATTTTGTAATTTATTTAATACTTACATACATTATTTGGTAACAAATACCGCGACAAAAATAATATGTTTCTATGCATTATTAAACAATATATTTTCAAACTATATGTACTGTAATCGTAAAATTGTATAATTTATATATATAATATTTAATATAATCCATAGATAAATATATATGTAACAAGCTAAAAATCAAAGTTAGGCTTGCACTAAAAATATCGATATATTGAAATATCGATATTTATTATAGCCTATCGAATTCATATCAATTTCAATATATTTTAAAATGTCGTATTAATGACAAAACATGTAACAATAAAAGGAAGTAAAAAGTATTCATGTGTAGTTGGTTGTCGTTTTTTTATTCGTCGTCCAACCGTCAGTAATATAAAATTTTGGACCTTATCTTTACATCATGCAAATGATGATGATATATCGATATTTATCACGCGATATGTATGGGTACTGTTTAAAAATATCGATATATATAAAATTTTGGACCTTATCTTTACATCATGCAAATGATGACGATATATCGATATTTATCACGCGATATGTATGGATAATGTTTAAAAATATCGATATATTTTTTCCCTTGCCCATCCCTAATGAAAATTATCAAAGAGTATTGGAGTATACCTAGCATATACAGGAAATAACGTATTTTTTTATAACTGGCTATACGGCTCTGTGTTCTAGCCTTTCTGAGCCTGAAGTTACAATGTATAATAATTATCCTTCATAGTACACTGCTTTACAATATATTGATGCATAATATTGTGCAACCCTTGGGAGATTTTGACGGCAACTTGAGCCAGCAGATAACTGACCTGATCTTCTACTCCAGAGCATGGCAGAGTGGTCGATTCACGTGGCTGTGGTCGCCGAACCGTACTTCATTCCAGCCCGTGACAACTGGTTGGGATGCGCTGACGGTTTGGTGGCCATTATTGGCGAGACTCTGATCGACCCGTCTCGGGGCCGCGGCTGGGTTGCTGCGGTCTCGGGCGGCATCGTTATTGTAGGGGCGTATTTCTCCCCCAACAAGAGTCTCGCCGACTTTGAGGGTTTCCTTGTCGAGTTGGGCGCCGTCGTAGGCCGTTATCACCCTCGTCCCGTTCTGGTGCTCGGGGATCTCAACGCCAAATCATCGGCGTGGGGATCTCCGGTCACTGACCCTCGGGGTGAGGTGCTAGAAGAGTGGACGGTGACGACTGGTCTGGTCGTCCTGAATCGGGGTTCGGAATACACGTGCGTGCGGCAGCGGGGTGGGTCGATAGTGGACGTCTCGTTTGCTAGCCCCTCTGTCGCCGCGACTGGCGTGTCGCCGTAGAGGTGGAGACACTGTCGGACCATCGATATATCCGGTTCGACGTCTCTGCCCAGACTGCGAGCGGCCGCCATCCAACAACCCCGATTAACGACGGCCCGCGTTGGGCGCTTAAGCGCATCGACAGGGAACTACTCGAGGAAGCTGCCCTAGTTCAGTCCTGGATCTGGGAGTCGACGACGGACGGCCCCGTCGACATCGAAGCGGTGGCGTTATGGTTTCGCGGGGCGATGACGCAGATCTGCGACGCGTCAATGCCCCGTGTCCTCCAACGGTCCGCAAAGCGCCAGGTGTACTGGTGGACCGCCGAGATCGCGCAATTGCGCATAGCGTGCGTTGCGGCTCGTCGCCGGTACACCCGATACCGGAGGCGGCGTCGACGGGATTCCGCCGAGGAGGACGCGCTGTATGAGGTGTACCGCGCGTCTAAGGAGACTCTGTGGCTGGCCATCGGCGACTCAAAGTCGCGTGCCAGGGAGGAGCTGCTGGGGTCCCTAGATCGGGATCCGTGGGGGCGCCCCTACCGTTGGATACGGGGCAAGTTGCGTCCCTGGGCGCCTCCACTAACACAAAGGATGCAACCCCAGTTGCTAGAGTCGGTGTTATCGACTCTCTTCCCTGAGCGAGTGGGACACGTTCCCCCGGCGATGGCTTCGCCCTCAGCCACAGACTCTCCAGAAGAGGAGAGCACCGATGTCCCCGAGGTGACGCAAGCAGAGACGAGAGTGGCCGTGTCGCGACTCCGGGCTAAGAACACAGCGCCCGGACCCGACGGAGTTCCTGGTCGAGCTCTCGTCCTGGCTCTGAAGGAGCTAGAGCCCCAGCTGAGAGGGCTCTTCACGGCATGTCTCGAGCAGGGTCAGTTTCCCAGTGTGTGGAAGGAGGGGAGGCTGGTCCTGCTCAGGAAGGAGGGGCGCCCCGCGGACTCACCGTCCGCGTACCGGCCCATAGTGCTACTCGACGAGGCGGGCAAACTTTTTGAGCGTATCATCGCAGATCGCCTCGTCAGCCACTTGTGCAGAGAGGGGCCGGACCTGGATGACAACCAGTTTGGTTTTCGTCGCGGGCGCTCCACCATAGACGCTATTACGCGCGTGAGGGCCCTGGCGGAGGACACAGTATCCCGGGGTGGGGTGGTGCTGGCGGTGTCCTTAGACATCTCCAACGCTTTCAACACCCTACCCTGGAGTTGCATTCGGGAGGCGCTGAATTACCATCGCGTGCCTCCCTACCTCCGCCGCACAATAGGGGCTTACCTTGAGGAGAGATGCGTTACCTATTGGGGACGTGACGGCGCTGGTCGGCGCGTCATGTCGTGCGGTGTTCCGCAGGGATCGGTCTTGGGACCGCTCCTGTGGAACATCGGCTACGACTGGGTGCTGAGAGGTGAACTCCCGTCGGGCGCCGACTTGACGTGTTATGCGGACGACACGCTTGTCACTGCCCGGGGGAGTTCGTACAGGGAAGCAGCGTTGGTTGCAACGGCTGCGGTGTCACAAGTGGTGAACCGCATCCGGCGCCTGGGCCTGGAGGTGGCCCTAAGTAAGTCGGAGGCCATGGTGTTCCATGGCCCTCGACGCGCGCCGCCGCCGGGTTCACACATCGTGGTCAGCGGGGCCCGGATAGCTGTCGAGTCCACCATGAAGTATCTGGGATTGGTGCTCGACAGCCGATGGGAATTCGGACCCCACTTCCGGCGGCTGGCGCCCAAGCTGATGGGTGCAGCGGGCGCGCTATCAACGTTGCTTCCCAACTTGGGGGGCCCGAGCGCCGCCTGTAGGCGGTTGTACGTGGGAATCGTGCGGTCCATGGCCCTGTATGGGGCCCCTGTGTGGGCGATGGACATGACGGCCAGCACTCTCGCCATTCTGCGTAAACCGCAGAGGGCGATGGCCGTCAGAGTCGTCCGCGGGTATCGCACGATTTCCTACGAGGCGGCTTGCGTCCTGGCCGGATCCCCGCCCTGGGACCTAGAGGCGAAAGTACTCGCGTCATTATATCGATGGCGCGAGGAAGAGCGGGCACGGGGCTCGAGGCCGGTGCAGCGGCAGATCGCGCTGCGCTGAGAGAAGCTCCGTCAGGTCTTGGTGGCGGAATGGCGGCAAAGGCTTCTGCGCCCTACCGCCGGCCTCGCTACCGTCGAGGCGATCCGGCCAGTACTCGACGACTGGCTCGGGAGAAGGCACGGCTCCCTGTCGTTTAGGGTGACGCAAGTGCTGTCGGGGCATGGCTGCTTCGGCAAGTACCTGCGCCGCATAGACAGGGAGCCGGACGCTCGGTGCCACCACTGCGTCCATTGCGGGGAGGACACGCCGCAACACACGCTCGCCGAGTGTGTAGCTTGGGAGGAGCAGCACCGTGTCCTCACAAATAAAGTAGGAGGCGATCTGTCGCTGCCGGCCTTAGTGCGGAAGATGGTCGGTAGCGCAGAGTCGTGGGATGCGGTGGTGTCCTTCTGCGAGGACGTGATGTCGCAGAAGGAAACTGCGGAACGGGAAAGGGAGATCTCGACTCCCTTCCCTGGCCGCAGAAGGCGCACCGGGCGCAGGAGAAGGGCGGACAACGCCCTTTTCCGGCCCCCATAAATGGGTCCAGGGGCGAGGGACTTGGGGAAGCCCCCCGCCACCCCTACTCGATGGACCCGAGGCGGATGCGCGCGCGGGTGTCGGCGCGCGCCCCTGAGGCGATACACGGGGTAGTTGATTGAACACCTCACTACCTCGTGCAGGAGACGAGGCCTGGACAGACCGGGCCAGCACTAGTGTGGGGCTGCGGAAGAATTTGGATTCCCGCGGCCCCACGCGCACGTGTGAGGAGACACCGGGGTGGTTTTAGCCGGTAAGAGTCCGGCACGCCCCTCCGCCTTTCCCCAGGCGGAGGTTGTCCATGAGGATTTCCACCCGTAAAAAAAAAAAAAGCAGATAACTGACAGTTGGTGATGGTATCTCAAGGCGCCTAAGAAGACACTTTATCTTTAGAATCACATCACCATCAGAGCACTTCTTTCGCCTTTTTCCATAAACAATAATACAAAAGCAGCAAACCACAGACTAACTAGTAGATTTTACCCGAATCAGACCCCTCCCTTCACCAAAACCTAAGAATTTGGAGTATATAATATATAAAAGAAAATACTGACCGACGTATTTTGAATAGCACCACTCAAAAATATTAATAATGCAAACTGTACCCATGTAGTTTAGAAATAAAAAATAGTTAAATTCGTTCACTTTATAACGTCGATATTACTTGAAATAATTAGATATGGGTACTTTTTACAGTATAAAAAAACTGCAGCTTGCTTGAATATAATTGCACCATAATTAAAAATGCATTAAATGCAATGATAAGATCAAAATTTTACTAAAACAAAATTTGTAAAATGTCGATTGTGTGATTTTTTTTCAACAAATTTGGTTTTATCAACTTTCCGGGAATCAAACCCGCGGCCCTTAGCGCTGCAACTCATTACTAAGCCACTGTGCCACAGAGCCGTCACTTGTCTGTTTAACATTTTTTGCTATTTACAAACATGCTACACGCGACTTCATTATTAATGAAAGTAGCAATGAGAAGTGGTGCTAAGTTCAATATTTACCAGTATATGCTAATCTTGCATTAGTAGGCAGTCACCAGTACTGGGAGGTCTACTTACACTAAATGATATTTATTTTATTATTTGATTTTTTTGCATTATACGCGAAAATATTAAAGTATATTTAAGGTATATTTTTAAATATTAACGTTTTCATAATATATTTCAGTTTATCATAACTTTTGAAATATATCAGTGAAGGTATTGTGTGATTGACCAAGTCACAGGAGCCCATAAACACAGCACATTAGTATTATAAATAGGTACAAAGATCAAAATCTAAAAAGTTTTTTATTTTGATTTCACAATTCAAAAGTGGCCGTTACTATCTATTGAATGTTATCTAATGCATAATTATATATACCACGCTATAACCACAAACCAATAAGAAGTGCTAGCGCAACCACAAACTACAAACTAGGCTTCGGTAAAAAATATATTATATCGTCGAAATGTATTAATCGCGAATCGCGATGTATCAATATATCGATATTTTGACAGACAGATCTCTGGCAGACTTTGGAGCCTTGGTTCCGCTCGATCGATTCTTCAATACAAGCTGTATTGAAGTTGCGTAAGTCCCGCCGCATGCATTTGGAGATCTGTCTGTTCAGTTGCTTGTATGCTGTTAAATCTGTTGAAGAACTTAGCTTCATCTCCCGTCTAACAGCCATGAGAGTGTGATCGGAGAGTTTTTGTGTTCTTCTGCGGCGGGTCTTGCAGAACTTAGCTCCGAACGCATGGACAGTTTCCACGAGCTTGTCATTCATATCGTCCACTTCATTGCAGTCTTCTAGGCACTGAAAATGGTTTTGTAACTGGAGATGAAAGGTTTCGGGACTTTGGAACAGAGCACGAGGGGGACGGAGCATTGACTTCATTAGTCGAGACCTCTCCAACTTAACGTTTAGGTTCAGTGTGCCTCTAACCATTCTGTGATCGCTACCAGTTTTCACCCTCGCGATCACGGAGACATCACTGAACATTTGTCGTCTGGTCGTCATAATGAAGTCAATCACCTTTTTTGTCGAAGCGTCGGGGCTCGACCAGGTCCACTTCCTGTGAGGCCGCTTCTGGAAGAAAGAGTTCATCATAAAGAGTCCCTCTTTCTCCATGAAGTCGGCCAGCTGCTGGCCCTTTGGGTTCCGTTGCCCTATTCCAAATTTCCCTAATTTCAGCTCACCGTTCTCTTTTGTGCCTAGTTTTGCATTGAAGTCTCCTATTAACACCGTATATTGGGTTTTGGAGGAATGCATGGCTCTAGAGATATCCTCATACATTTCCTCCACCTCCTCATCGGGGTGTGCCGAGGTTGGTGCGTAAACCTGTATGACCTTCAGCGAATACCGTTTGGTGATTCTGAGTATAAGGTACGCAACGGATAATCCTATAATATGCCAGCGTAACTTGTCTATCTCTTCTTCCAGCTCCACAATCTTCTCGTCAGTCCTCAGGGTACGTACGTTGTATGTTGCCAGGTCGAGTCGTCTTAGGTGGCAACCGAACTTCCACCGGAGATTCTTAGCACCCCCTGCCCCGCCGTTACCACGGTTGCCACCGTAGCCAGGAATAGCAGGGCCGCCAGGGACTGAGGGCCGTCTCTTTGTTACCTTCATAGACATTCTATGCTGACCCAAAATAACTTGGAAGAAGGGAAGGATGAAGTAGACTTAAAAATGCACATTAGCATATTTCTTGAATAAATTTTTGTCAACATAATATGTCAAACTAGGCTGTATGGGCACAATATTCTTTACCATTAAGTTATAAAAATATAAAGTTTTGTTGATTTTGATTAGTTTGAGCTACGTATTTATTTATCTATGGTTTTGATATTTTGAATAAATAGTACAATATAATAAAAAGAAAATATTTAAATATGGACGGAAAAACAACTAAAATGCCAAAAGTGGCAAAGGTAATATTGTATAATTAACCTGCTACAATTTTTTTTGTTAATGCATACATAACCTACTTTAATTTTTCGTTTGTAAACATCTATATAATATCTTATATATCTAGGTAAAAAACAAAGCTCCAGCTGAAATACAAATAACTGCCGAACAATTGCTTAGAGAAGCCAAAGAAAGAGATTTGGAAATATTACCACCTCCACCAAAACAAAAGATATCAGACCCAGAAGAACTGAGAGATTACCAGCATCGTAAACGAAAGGCATTTGAAGACAATATTCGTAAAAATAGACAAGTGAGTAATAAAGCATGTTTTTATTACCTGCACCAATTTTGTAAAGTTATTCACCAGAAAATTGGTATGGATGTATTTAACATAATTGTACTACAGGATAATTTACTGTTATTTAGGTAATCGGGAATTGGCTTAAATATGCTCAGTGGGAAGAGTCACAGAAACAGATACAGAGAGCTCGCTCAATATATGAAAGAGCATTGGATGTGGATCATAGAAATATTACCCTTTGGTAAGTCAACATTTCAAGTCAATTATTTAAATTTGCACTATTATAATCTTAATGTAATATTAAGTAACTTAATAACTAACTGTGCAATTGATAAGCTATCTAGCAAGCTATAGTTTAATTTAGTAGTCTAGATTAGCTATTTTAATGGTAAGTCAATCACCAAGCTCTTCAGATTGAGTGTTTCGAACATTGACTTATTTTAATCATTTCATGGTTTAACAGACATTTATGTTATGTGTAAATTTTCAGGTTAAAGTACACAGAAATGGAAATGCGTAACAGACAAGTTAACCATGCTCGTAATTTATGGGACAGAGCAGTAACAATACTGCCAAGGGTATCTCAGTTTTGGTACAAATATACTTATATGGAAGAAATGTTAGAAAATGTTGCTGGAGCAAGACAAGTATGTACTAGATTTGTTATGATTGTAAACATTGTGGTCAGAATAACCTAGCTACAGTGTGGCGAGTTCTGGATTTAAATTGCTACCTGAGCCGGCAATATTGCAAAAATTACTGCAAATTATTAATTTTAAGTCTGATTATGTTGTATTATGATATTTAGTATATTCTGTGTCTGTGACACAGCTACCTTACCTACTTCCAATGTTATCTCATAATTGTAACATTTGGCATAAGTAGCTTAATAAGTGCAAGGTCTTTTGTGTAGGTGTGTTCACTAGTATGTCTCAGCTCAAATAACAGTAATTCTTGCCTACACCCAAAATACATGCTTAGTTGTGGAGTTCCAAATACTGTGACAAAATTAACTACATTGTTTCCTTCACAGTTAGTTTCAAATTATTCAAAATTGGTCAGTATTGTTGCCATGGTAAAAAATCAGGACATCATTTTGTTTTTGAATGTTAGATAACAAAACATTTTGTTAATAAATATAACATTATTTAATTATTAAATTTATGCACAATATAATTATCATTAATTATAGGTATTTGAGCGTTGGATGGAGTGGCAACCCGATGAGCAAGCATGGCAAACTTACATCAATTTTGAATTAAGGTACAAAGAATTAGATAGAGCCAGACAAATTTATGAGAGATTTGTGATGGTCCATCCCGATGTAAAGCATTGGATAAAATATGCTAAATTTGAGGAAAATCATGGCTTTATAAACAGTGCGAGAAAAGTATATGAAAGAGCAGTTGAGTTTTTTGGGGATGAAGAACTTGATGAACGGTTATTTATTGCATTTGCAAAATTTGAGGAGAACCAAAAAGAACATGACAGGGCAAGGGTTATCTACAAATATGCTCTAGACCATATTCCAAAAGATAAAAATAAAGAACTATACAAAGCATACACAATTCATGAGAAAAAGTATGGAGATAGATCTGGGATTGAGGATGTTATTGTCAACAAAAGAAAATATATGTATGAACAAGAAGTAATAGAAAACCCAACAAATTATGATGCTTGGTTTGATTACATACGGCTTGTTGAAAATGAAGGCAATGTAGATGATATTAGAGATACATATGAAAGAGCAATAGCTAATGTGCCACCATCAAAAGACAAACAGTTTTGGAGACGATATATTTATTTATGGATCAATTATGCTTTGTATGAAGAATTAGAAGCTGAAGACATAGAAAGAACTAGGCAAGTATACAGAACATGTCTGGAATTAATACCCCATAAAATATTTACATTTTCAAAGATATGGTTAATGTATGCTCAATTAGAAGTAAGGTGTAAGAATTTAAAACAAGCAAGGAAAACTTTAGGGTTGGCATTAGGAATATGTCCAAGAGATAAATTATACAGAGGGTATATTGACTTAGAAATTCAATTACGTGAATTTGATAGATGTAGAATATTGTATCAGAAATTTCTTGAATATGGACCAGAAAATTGCATAACATGGATAAAATTTGCTGAATTAGAAACATTGCTTGGAGATATTGATAGAGCAAGAGCTATATACGAAATAGCTGTCTCTCAACCAAGATTAGATATGCCAGAACTTCTGTGGAAAAGTTACATAGATTTCGAAGTTTCTCAAGGTGAAACTGAAAAAGCCAGACAACTTTATGAAAGGCTGTTAGAGAGAACTGTTCATGTGAAAGTATGGTTGTCATATGCGAAATTTGAGTTAAATGCTGAGAACCCAGATAATATTAATGTTGAACTGGCAAGAAGAATTTATGAACGTGCAAATGATAGCCTCAGGAGTGCTGGAGAAAAAGAAGCAAGAGTTCTTCTTTTAGAAGCATGGAAAGAATTTGAAACAGAAGTTGGAGAGGAATCCAAGCTAGAAAAAGTGTTATCCAAGATGCCCAGAAGAGTTAAAAAGAGGCAAAAGATAGTAAGTGAATCTGGAGTAGAAGAAGGATGGGAAGAAGTGTTTGATTACATATTCCCTGAAGATGAAATGGTAAGACCCAACCTCAAATTACTTGCAGCAGCCAAAAATTGGCGAAAGCAAAAGGAAGTTGAAACAGAACCATCAGATGCAAATAATAAGGACCCATCTGAAGAACAATCAGCCTCGACATCCGGAGAACAAGATGCAGAAGAAAGTAATGAATGATAACTTGGTTACAATAAATTATAACATAAAAACAAGCTTTTTACTTAGTTTTAATTCCAGTTTGTAAATGCTCCAATATATTAATTTGTACTAGTAGTCATACAGCGGTCGAAATTCGACCGCAATTCATAAAATTTTTAAGACAAAGTATTAAGCAAGCTGTGTTTCACTTTCAACTCTGTCTCTCTCTCTCTTTCTCTATCTCTATTTCTATATATATACCTAGTCAGGTCATAAGTATTGTCACACAGTAAAAACTTTTCTTTTAGAATGCTAGCCACAAAAAAGTTTATTGGATTCGAATTTCGAATTGTTCATGAAAATAAAACTGTATACTTTTTAGAATTTTACTCATTTTTAAATATGGAGTGGACGCTTAAAGAAGACCGTATTGCAGTTATTGCGTTGCATCGTTGCGGTTACGCGCCAATTCAAATTTTTGACATACTGAAAAATTTGAATATAACCAAAAGATTCGTTTATCGTACCATCAAACGATACAATGAAGACTAGTATAGATGACAGGTCAAGAAGTGGTCGCCCTCGGTCTGTTAGGACTCCAGCAGTGATAAAAGTTGTGAAGGCGCGAATTCAAAGAAATCCCAAACGTAAGCAGAAACTGTGGGCCCTTCAGATGGGTTTAAGCAGAACCACGGTGAAAAGGGTGTTAAATGAAGACTTAGGGCTTCGGGCATATCGAAGAAAAAGAGGGCATCGTTTAAATGCTCGTCTAATGGACCTGAGACTGAAGAGATGCCGCGCTTTGTTGAAGCGGTACGCGGGAAAAAATATCGGGAAATTCTTTTTTCGGATGAAAAAATTTTTACCGTAGAAGAGAGCTACAACAAACAAAATAATAAGGTGTACGCACACAGTAGTGAAGAAGCGAGCAACCGTTTTCCGCGTGTCCAACGAGGTCATTTTCCATCCTCGCTCATGGTATGGTTGGGAGTTTCATATTGGGGCTTAACAGAGGTACATTTTTGTGAGAAAGGTGTAAAAACGAATGCAGTTGTGTATCATAATACAGTCCTGACGAACCTTGTGGCACCTGTTTCTCATACCATGTTCAATAACAGGCACTGGGTATTCCTACAAGATTCGGCGCCAGCTCATAGAGCGAAGAGCACACAAGACTGGCTGGCGGCGCGTGAAAACGACTTCATCCGGCACGAAGACTGGCCCTCCTCCAGTCCAGATTTGAATCCGTTAAATTACAAGATATGGCAACACTTGGAGGAAAAAGCGTGCTCAAAGCCTCATCCCAATTTGGAGTCACTCAAGACATCCATAATTAAGGCAGCCGCCGATATTGACATGGACCTCGATCGTGCTGCGATAGACGACTGGCCGCGCAGATTGAAGGCCTGTATTCAAAATCACGGAGGTCATTTTGAATAAACTTTAGTGTCATAAGAATCTATGTTTTGTTAAGTTCATTTTGGTATATAAATGGTTGCATAATGAATAAACTTGTTTCAATTATTTTATATTAAACATGTGACAGAATTTATGATCTGACTAGGATATATATATATGTGTGTGTGTGTGTGTTATCTACATTCAACTGCACATTAATATATAAATCTATAGCAACAATCTCTAATCTGTGCTTAGTACGAAGGTAATAAGTCTTCTGTGATTATGTGGCTTATTGGCATAGACCTACGATTTCAGAAAGCCCCACAAGAAAAAGTTCGGCGGGATAAAATCGCACGATCTTGGTGGCCGATTCACGTCACCTCTGTAAAAGATAACCTTATACCTTCAATCGTTCATGCGGAATTTCTATTGTGGCGTTCGCTGTATGGTACGTAGCGTCGTCCTACTGGAACCACAGATCGTCCACGTCCATATTGTTTAATGTAGGCCAAAATAAATTGGTTATCAATTGGTCGAAGGCGCCCACAATATGTTGAAAGGCACAATGAGTTATTTATTTATCCTCCACCGCCTTTTCGACCCTGTCAATATGAGGGCGACACTGAATTTTTTTAGAACTTTCCACTTGTAAACGATACAATAAAAAAATAAGTTCAAATTTTGAAAATGGAACTCTTTGCCAATATTAAGCGTCTCCCACACACAAGCGGCTTGCGGTGGCGGCTAACCGCGGGCCGCGGCTGCAGCCACTGTAACAACACACCCCCGCGGCCCAAGTGGCGGCCTGAAGCGCCATTCGCTGTGGTGTCTGTGCTACGATCGGACGTACGAACATGACAAACCGTGACGAAGTCTTTATTATATTCAGCAGTATTATCATATATTTTGTTTTAATACTAATGCTTTTGTGATCACGATGCGAATTATCATAAAGTACTAGATAATTTTGCACTGTTTCTATTAAAATCTCTGAATTTAGCACCATTTTTCACGCGGTACATGCGGCCTGTTGTAAAAATTTACAACTGACCGCGTTGCAGCCACCGACTGATCGCTAACACACACGAATTGGAAAATGGGGCGGAGCATGCGGCCGCGGCCAGCCGCTCGTAGGCCGCGCCATGGCCGCATCATGGGTTTGGAGACTCACTTATATTGCAAGCGAATACAACTGGCCGCCACCGCAAGCCGCTTCTGTGTGGGAGACGCTTTATTGTGTATATGTTTTATTAATTTGTCATTTGTTTACGATTTGGCGGCAAATTGAAAATTGTCTGTGTCACGTCAGCAAGAATTTAACGCGAGAACATTTTCGTACAATGATTTTTTATGACTTTCGATGTCATTTAAGTCAAAGTTATGATATTTATATATTATGATAGTTATGATAGACTACCTCATAATTTGACAGAGGCCCAAAAACTCTGTCGTGTTGATTGGTGTCGTGAAATGGTTCAAAGATTTAACGGAGGTGACTCAAATGCTATGTTCGACATACTTACGGGTATGACATAAGCTGGATTTATTGTTATGATCCTGAAACTAAGAGACAGTCTGCTGCCTGGGTGTATCCTTGCGAGGAGTTTCCAACTAAAATGAAGAGGTCGAAGCGTAGGAAAAAAGATGGTGGCCTCGTTCTTCGGAAGGACAGTTCATTACGCAACAATTGTTTTAGAGGATCGAAAAACAGTTACTGCTGAGTGATATACTAACAATTGTTTGCCACTTGACAAAACCGCGGGGTGGAAAAATATATTCGTGGGCTAGGCTGAACAGACCGGGGCTTGCATATGCATAGGCACTGGTCGCGCTTTCTGGCTCCGGGCTGCTACTAAGAATTTCTTGAAAGAAAAACTAATTTTTTGACCCGACTCGGAATTCGAACCCAGAACCTTATGATCGGCAGTCGCGGATATAACCACTAGACCAAAGAGGCAGTTAATTGGAGAAATAATAACATATGAAATTATAACTTATATTAAGTTTATTTATAAAAAAAATTAATCCACATCTTCAGGCCTTACTGGATGTGATAATGGTATAACAGATTTTTTATTAACATCTCTTGAACAGGCTTTTCTCATATCTGAAAAAAATCAAAACAAAATTTTAACAAACTTCAAAAAAGGTATGTTTACAGAGTATACTTTTACAGAGATTCAATATAAATAACAACCATATCCATTGAAAATGGGGAGGCCACTCTTCCCATTTTCAATCAACCAATGGATCAGCTGACAGCTGTCATTGCACGACAATAGGGTAAATGAACCGAACCCATTTTCAAATTTTCAATCAATCAATGGATTAGCTGATAGCTATCATAGCACCACAATAGCGTTAACCGGTTCAGTGCGGGTGACACGCGAGTCGTGTCTTTTTAAAAATCGTTATAACTCGCTCAAATTCCTTTTTTGGAAAATTTATCCAGAACAAAATATTCATTATTTTGCGAGTAGTTCATGCATGCAGCTTCGTTTCTGGATATTTTTAAAAATTTGAAATTTTTAAAGGGTTGACAACCTTTTTTTAACGTGTACATGGTACTATTTTTACTTTGTGGGTTTTAAATCATGTTATGGAAAAATTGTCTAATAAGTAACAAATAATAGCACTCATTGCCAACGCTTCAAGCGGGGTTAGCTCCAGCATTTAGAAGCCAGCCAGCTTCCAGCAGAAGCGACTTTAGCTGTCATTAGACTCAAGACCCTAAATCTTTGGAGTAAGAATAGAGTCCCTCATACAGGCATAATTGATAGAATTCACTCAAAAATTCCTATCTTAGAAGCCAAGTACGATAAGATCCAAAAACAATTTGTTTTCGATAAGAAGTATAAGATACAATTAAATGAAACCAGCCAGCCGGAGGGATTAAGCCCAAAAGAGCTTAGAGACTTCACCGATGGTTCTAAAACAAATGAAGGTGTAGGATCCGGAACTTTTTCTGAAGACCTCAACATCCACATATGCACACCGCTAGGTACCTACAACACAGTCTTTCATGCGGAATGTATGGGTATCATTCAAGCGGCCATAGCAATAGATGCTAGAAAGGTTAATGACTTCTCACAGATGGTTAATGACAGAGGCAACAATGCAGCAGAAGAACTGGCCAGAAGAGGATCGGCTCTGGCCACTATAGGGCCAGAACCAATTATACCAATCCCCTTTGGTAATGTTTATTCACTGGTACGTAGACACTACACTAATCAACACACTCAACTTAGGAAAAATCTAGTAGACCGTAGATAAGCTAGGGAGGCCCTGACTAAAATAAACAGTTGTTTAACCAAGGTTCTAATGAGACTGAACAAGCCGCAGATCAGGATAGTAACAATTGCTATCACAGGACATGGCAAGTCCCCTGTGCAGGGCATGAATGAGGGAGGAAGAAACGGCGGCCCACGTGTTGCTGACGTGTCCGGAAGTCGCTGTATACATGACTAAAACATCTCAGCATGCCGGGATCACTCCCCGAAGCTGCTTGCAACGTCAAATTACTGTTGAACTTCTTCGGGGAGATTTCATGGCTCGAATAAATACGAATAAATAAATATTCCTGCCCACACGCAAAATACGCGCTTAGACGTGGAGTTGCGGAAAACAGTCCGTTTATT